CCAGGGGGAGGGCCTTCTCTGTGGGTGCCCCCACCCTCTGGAACGAACTACCCCCCGAGATCCGGACGATTCCGGACCTCCTACCTTTTCGCCGCGCCCTCAAGACATGGCTTTTTCAACAAGCGGGTCTGGCCTAGGGAGAATTTTTAAATAGGGATAATTTTAATTTAAATTTTAATTAATTATACAGCGAAAAAAATATTTGGTTTTTAACAGGTTTTTATGGGGGGACGATGTTTTATGTGTTTTGATATGCTGTAAGCCGCCCTGAGTCCTATAGGGAGAAGGGCGGCATATAAATCCATGTTAAATAAATAAATAAATAAATAAATAAATAAATAAATAAATAAATAAATAAATAAATAAATAAAGGTTGAGGGATATGCAGGAGTTTCAAGTGCAGGGAGAGTGCATGGGGTGCATTGGGGTGTGGAAGGATGCGAGGGAGGTGCAACAAGGTTCAGAAAGAGTTCAAGGGGGTGCGCAAGGGTGCAAGAGGCACAGAGAGGCTCATGGAGGTGCACAAATGTAAACGGGCTAGGCAAGGGTTTGCAGGTAGGGGAGACTTACCAAGCAACTTGTGACCTTCCCTGCCAGTTTCCCCATTGACTTTCTGGGGAAGCTGGCAGTGAAAGTTTGCAAATGGCAATGACATGATTGTGAGTTGTTGCAACTAGTTGTAAGTGCAAGCTGGTTGCCAAGCACCCAAATCAAAATCATGCCGGGACAGCCAGAACTCTGAGGACCGATCATAACCACCATTCGTTCAGTGTCATTGAACTTTGAATGGTCACTGAGTGAATAATCTTACGCTGAGGACTACTGTAACTGTGCAGCAAATAAGTCTACTGATTCTTATTACTGAATTAATTCCATCACTTACACCGACACAACAAAAATGAAAGCAATTTAGCTTTTTGAATTTTTCTAAAACTAAATAGATTTACAAGATAAAGCCACAAACTAGCAGCTCTGTTATCATCTGTTTACAAATGATTCTTAAAGTACAGCAATTATTGCATCTTTCTATCAATGGTATATCTTTATTTTAGCAGCCATGTCTCTTGAAATGGCACTTCCTGTGATATTAGCAATACTCACCAGCTGATGCTTCTTTGATCTCTTCCGGCTGCTGTTCTGCTACAGTTGGTACCTCTTCTGGTTTTTCACTTGTATCTGTAAGCAGTATCACAAATATTTAAATATGCCTTTAATAGGGTACATTTCGATCATCTAACCCACAAATTCTACATTTAACTGTCCAATTTGTCCTATGGAGCATAGAAATATATATCTTAATTTTATATCTACATTATTGGCCATATTAATGGAACTTTTTAAAATCAGTTTTCAGTCAAGCTGAAGGATTTCTATCAACAAAATCATTAGTGTAGTGAAAGCTTTTATTCATAAGATATTACATATTGAGAAAAAATATAATCATCCTTATTTTCAGATACAGAAATAGAATATTAACATTAACAATTTATGTATTTATGTATTGTTTTAATCACAATGTGATTTTAGTGCATAACACGAATTTACACATATTCACCGCTTTACTGTATGTTAGAAACTCATAGCTTGGTACTTTGAATTCTATGAAACACACAAATACATTTTGAGACTGAACTTCTATATAATTAAAGAAACGATTAAACTGACTTGGTATTTCTTGCACAAAATGTTTCAGACATAGACATAGACAAACATTTGAAGATATGGGAAATTATTTCCATACATAAAACTTGGCGAAAACATTATGAATTTTAAATAGTTTCAGTGAAGAATTCTTTATAAAATAGATTATCAGCTCTCCTTCCATTTGTGTTTTCAGAACTGGTCATGATATCAAGTGACACTGATCACATTAGTAGATGATCTCTGGCAGAAGCAGGATGGGTTGCTTCTCTTTGAACCTTCAATAGTTTTTGATACTATCAATCATGGTATCCTTTTGAACCATTTCCAGGGGTTGGGAATGGGCAGTACTATGCTGTGCTGGTTTTCTTCCTTTTTCCAAGGATGGTTCTATTCAGTCTTGCCTATGGCCCTTGCTTTGCAGGGTGCAGCAGGACTTATCGTAGTATTCTTCCCACTTCTGTTAACATCATCAGTGGTTCTCAACCTTTTTAATGCCGCGACCCCAAACGGTCGTAAGTCGAGGACTAAACCAGTCGTACATCAAGGACTAAACCGGTCGTAAGTCGAGGACTACCCAACCGGTCGTAAGTCGAGGACTTTCCCTGCCCGGGAGCGCCACGCATGTGTGGTTCCGCCCCCTGCGCCGGCCGAGGCGTAGCTGGCAAGCGGCAGAGACCGAGCAGGCCCAGCCCAAGGGAGGTAAGGCACTCGCCGGAAAAGGGGAAAAAAATGGCGGACAAAAAAAATGACGGACAGCCTTGCTTGGCGACCCCCGTGAAATGGTCGATCGACCCCAAATGGGGTCCCGACCCACAGGTTGAGAACCACTGATCTACATGAAGCCAGTAGTTAAAATGCATATCTTATGATTATGAGATGAATTCATTGAATGATTTGTATGTGTTTATTGCCTACCTCAGTGGTTAAAAAGGTTTAAATATCAGTGTTCTTATGCTAGAGATGTAATATATTTGAGAACACTCTAATATACAAGACCTGGATGTCTCTTTGGCTGTCTCATTTTGGTTTAGAATTCATCCTACTGTTAAAAAAGATTTGGGAAACCAAAGTGAGGTTTCAGGATGAAAGTATGATATTGAATTACATACCAAAACTTTATGAAGATGTGTGCGGACTTTTTGTCTGCTTGGAATATACCAAAGTAAAGATAATTCTGCACAGACATTTATCCTTATGGAATTACAATCCCATCTTGAAGAATTGTATTCATACTCGACCACTGAATTAGCTGCCCATAGACATATGGAAAGATTGATCAATATGATTCAGTGTGGACAATGATTAACTTGTAATTTAAAAACTAAGCTACTTTACACATTGTTTTTCTTATTTTGTTATATTTTATACTTTGTGTTTTGTATTTTGTTGTATATTTTGTCTTTTTCTTTCCTCTCTTGCACATTACTGCAATAAAAAAAATAAAATTTTAAAGCCTAGTGCTTGGTACACCTCAAGGCAGTAACTGCACTTTCTAGGAATGGCACTCATATATATGCTAACAATTAAATACCAAATGTTGCATTTAGGAAAAGTCAAAAAGCAACAGCAAGAAATGTTAATTTAAAGCTATCTTGCGTTTTTATAGCAAATCTGAGAAATACGCTTCTTTCTNGATTATATTGAAACATGATAGTCCTTTATTGAAACTGTTGAGTAAAACTCTGCCTATCTGTACATGCATGAAACACCACTATATGCTTTTCCTTTTTTCTGTCTGTTCTGTTAATTAAACAAAAGCAAAAAATATAAAGGAGAGCAAACCCCATTAAAAATTCTGCATATTTTTCTGCCAAAAACAATTTAAGCAAAAATTCTTTAAGATATACGTCATACCGTGATTACACCAATCCCTCCACCACCTGTGCTTCGAAGGTATCTCTGATAGTTCGATTTCAAATCCAGAAGAACTAACTGGCTTCCAGCTATGTAGAGGAGAATCTGACTATCCAGCATCTGGAGGTTTGCTCGTCTAGTGCAGTCATATCCAAAAGAATGCCTGAGGAATGCATGCTAAGGAAATAAATGATGACGTGACCTAGGTTTATTGCATCTGAATAATAAATGAACCATTAATGAAAAACAATATATTATGCATAATGAAAAAAGACAGCATGATGTGCTGGTTAATGGACTATATTAGGACAGAGAAATTCTAAGATGTAGCTCATCATAATCTGGAAAATTCACTTGGTGAGTTTCAGTTAGTCACTCATTTTTAGCTCACCCTGCAGTATAGCATTGTTGTAATTAGAAAAAGTGGAGTAAAGGAATGCTATGTCCTAGAGGCATAGAGTTTGAGTGGACCATTGAGTCTAATCCAGTGGCTCAGTGCAGGAATCCAAATTAAATCATCTCTCGAACAATTACTTAGCCTCAACCTAAATTCATCCAATGAAGAGGACTTCAATACTTCTCTTGGTAATTGTTCCATCACTGAAATGCTGCTACTTTTTTCTAACATATAATTGAAATCTGCTTTCTCATCACTTAAATTCTTATTTTTAAGTACAGTAGTTTCAAACCATGGTAAATAGGTTTTGCTGATTCAGATATCTAAAGGGCATTATGTACATATTTGAACAGTGGTATAAAATGCTCCCTCAATAATCTTTTCTCAAAGCTAAATATTCCCAATTACTGCTCTTTCTCTATAGGATTTGTTCTCTAATAATTCTTATTGCCCTTGGCTGAATCTGTTCACTTTACCTGAATACTTCTTAAAGTGCTGAAGCAAATGTAAGCAATTTGTTCCATTCTGTACTGCTTTGTCAGCCTTCACTTAATTTAACCCCCAATTTCTTCAAAACAAAACCAATACCTTATTTACTAAATCTGTAAACCATTCCATTATTAATATACTGAATGTATCATTTCCAATGCTATTTTTTAAAAGCAAATACATTTGTTTCTTACTTTGGTTTATGATAGGAAACTCAAATCCTAAACACATGGATCTCTAGCAAAAATGGATACATAAGAGAGAGCAGGTTCACCGGTATGCCAGAATCTGGAGTTATATAGGGATAAGAGCACAGTTCTTCATAGTTATAATAGAAATTTTCAGAGATCTTCTTCTCTACTACTTCTTTTTTCTTCTTCTTCACTGGTTCTGGGGTTTTTTCTGGTTCTGGTGGTGGTTCTTCTTCTGGATTTCAAAAATGCCATCATAAAAACTATATATATATTGCTGAGAAAGAATCATTCATTTTAAAAACAATTTAAAATGAATTTAAATTTAAATTCTAGTGGACTCCTCAATGTTGTCTGTGCTGAATTTAAATTTAAATTCTAGTGGACTCCTCAATGTTGTCTGTGCTTGGTTGTTTGCTTACACACATTTCATTACCAACTAGATAACATTATCAGTGTTATTGAGTACTATATTTTCTGGAGAGGAAGTGCTGGCTAGACAGGAATTAACACCAGACAAACAATCAAGCAGAAAACAATACCCTAATCAAGAAACTACCAAATATAAAACCACACCACTATCAACACTGGCAGGGCAAGTTACTATATATAAACAGGGAGCAAGCTGATGTAGCACTGATGTTACTTTAGTTGGGCAATGAAAAGTCTGCAAGCAAAAAAATCAAGCTCAGACAGCACCAAGGACTCCATGGTTCAACTATGAGCTACATACGTATATTCTCTTCTGTTGGAACAAATCTAATCTCAGGTGCCTGGAGCAGAGATCACTGGAATAAAGGGAACCCCTGAGATAACTATGCAGTCTCAACAACAATGGATTTGAATTTCATTGAAATATAAATCTGGACTACAAGAGACAATGTCTAATGATCATAAGATTTCAAAAGAAAGAAACAAATGATAAAAGGAGATCACATAGCATTAAGAATTAATCAGTAAGCAGAGATCAGTTATGGAAGTAGTTTACATATCAATCTTAGATGTGCTTATGCAAAAATAAATCTCATTGCTTTTCAGAAGGCTTCTTTCGAAGGAAGCATATATACAATACAATTGCAATCTTAGTCATAAGAGATCTGCTATACCAAGAAAACTGTTATTCTAATTTGTGGATTTATCCCAATCTATAAGGTGATTAGTGACTGTGATAAGAGTAAGATAATCAAATTATAAGCAAATCACATGCAACAAAATAGCTTCATATGAATAATAAAGTATTGAGTCTTCAGGCAATTTTTCATGTTGAGTTCAAATGTGACAACTAATGCAATAGCAAGCAAACAGCACTCCTAACTAGCACTGATGAGGTTACCTAGTTAGGGTAATGAAACATCTGCAAGAAAGCAAGAAAGCTCAGAGAGCACCAAGGACCCCTCATTTCAACCCTGAGCTATAAATATTGCAATAATAAGCAACATGATACAGGTAAGTCCCCAGTTTAAGAACAACTTCTGTTCCCAAAGTCTGTCCTTAAGTCAAATTTGTAGGTAAGCCAGAACAATATTATTATATAATACTGTATAAATAGAATTGCTTAATGGACTTGAACCATTGTGTATTTAACTTGAATCTTTCTGTGTTTAATTTGAATTTTGCTAGAATAGGCTCCATTTTTAACAATGTCATTCTTAAATCAGAGCATTCTTAACTTGGGGACTTGCTGTACTCATAACAATTTTGGTTATCTTCTGAACTCCCAAACTAATGAAATATTTTAAATAATTTAAGGTTTAAAATATTTTAAATGGCTGAAATTTTTGAGAAAATGTGTATATGATCTTTTGTGGCTTGCAGGACGTTTATGTGCACTGTTGGGTTCTTGGTTGAGATTGTATGAAATCTTAGGAATAAGCTCACTGAAACCTTGCCAGATTTAGAAGTCTTGTAAGATTTTTACCATCTTTAAAACAACTGATAAACACTTGCCACCCGAAATAATACTTGAACCGAAAGGTTCAGGCATAATCAAGCAAATGTGGCTACATAAATAAAAAAATAGTTTCTTTGGACCAGTTATGCAATGCAAAGCAGCACAAGTCATAGCAATTAATTTCTGAAAAAGAAAACTTTGAGACTACAAATTACTTTAAGATTGACTGATTATTGATTGATTAGACCTATATGGCTGCATGGGGGAAGAGCGAGGCCTTCATGGCTCTCTGAAAGGCTAAAAGGGTAAAAGTCCCTTAGATCTCAGATATTATGCTGTTCCAAAGTGCTGAAGCAGCTACCAAGAAGATGCATCTATGAGATCCCACCAAGTGGCAACATTTAAGAGAGGTGACCCGGGACGTGTCCACACAATCTAAACTAGTAGGACAGGCAAATACGAGGCAGATCAAGAATAAATGCTTAAATCCCAGATGTAAATTTCATTACCTACTTTTTCATTACTTAGCTTATGAAAATAATTGCACAAAAGAGCTGAATAGAGGGAGTGTATAAAAATACACTTTTCAAGTCCACAGATTGCTAACAACACTCACCTTCACTTGCAGCACTTCCTGCCTCCTCATACTCATCTTCAGCTAGCTTTTCTCCTTCTTCTCCTTCTGGAGATGATTTAGTTTCTACAAATAAATAAGAAAATTATGTATATGTACAGTATATATTAACACACAAACACACACATGCATACACAGAGAGATTTTTCAGTCACCTTTCAGCCCAAAGGGGGTCCTAAAGTGCCTTATATTGAAAAACATCAAACAATGAAAAAGGTTAAAACAATTTTCACGTGCAGAAAAGCCTGAGTGACAAAATATTTTTAAACACATAGAAAAGGCTCATGTACTTAAAGTCAGTCAATGACTCATAAGTAAGTATTGGCTTGCTTTTTTTAGAAAAAATATTCTACAAACCAAAGTGCCATTGCAGAAAAAGTTCTGTCACAGACTTAGAGCAATACAACTTCACTTGGTAGGGGGTCATAGGAATAGCGATGTTAAAATGTTTTATCTGCTTTGCTTGAAAATAAAAAAAATTCTATGCCTGATGGACTTAGTCCAGGGGTAGGCAACCTTGTCTCTTTTATGATTCGTGGACTTCAACTCCCAGAATTCCTGAGGCAACTTGGCTGGCTCAGGAATTCTGGGAGTTGAAGTCCACGAATCATAAAAGAGCCAAGGTTACCTACCCCTGACCTAATCAATGCACATCTGAGAGCAAGACAGATAAAAAACAATGCACAACATGACCCTAGCATAAGCTGTCTAGGATATATACTAAGTTGAAAAATCAAAATCTGGCTTCATTTGTCTTTAAAAATTATTTGTGCTTCAGGTTTTCCATACAAAGAAAACCTGTAGCGATTGGTATCACATTCAAATATATTCTGACTGAAGTAAACAATGTTGCAACTATGTTTTTATAAACTGAGCAATAATTTGAGAAGGCTGGTGGCCTTCAATCTTCTAAAACCTACCACAAAGCATATTCGCAAGAACTACAGATAGTCCTTGACGTATGACAGTAATTGGGATTAGAATTTCCATTGCTAAGCACTGTGGTTTCAAAGTGTGACCATATTGCTTAGTGAGGGCAATCGCTGCAATTCTGATTGCTATAATTAACTGAATCGCTCAGTTATCATTATTAGATGAGGCAACTTCCTGCTGGCTTCCCATGACCATGTCCGTGAAGAAGCTGGCAGGAAGTTGTTAAGTCTCAGGCAGCTTGTGATCAGGCTAGCAGGCAGGTAAGTAGCTGCTATTATGTGGGGGAGGGCGCGAGGGAATGCATAAGGATGTGAGAGAATCACAGCAAGGCTTGAGAAAGATGCCCAAGGGTGAGGGGTGTGTGAAAGTGGAAGCAGGAATGGCAAAGGTTGAGGGATATGCAGGAGTTTCAAGTGCAGGGAGAGTGCATGGGGTGCATTGGGGTGTGGAAGGATGCGAGGGAGGTGCAACAAGGTTCAGAAAGAGTTCAAGAGGGTGCGCAAGGGTGCAAGAGGCACAGAGAGGCTCATGGAGGTGCACAAATGTAAACGGGCCAGGCAAGGGTTTGCAGGTAGGGGAGACTTACCAAGCAACTTGTGACCTTCCCTGCCAGCTTCCCCATTGACTTTCTGGGGAAGCTGGTAGTGAAAATTTGCAAATGGCAATGGCATGATTGTGAGTTGTTGCAACTAGTTGTAAGTGCAAGCTGGTTGCCAAGCACCCAAATCAAGATCAATTGACTGGAGGATGCCGGGACAACCAGAACTCTGAGGACCGATCATAACCACCATTCGTTCAGTGCCATTGAACTTTGAATGGTCACTGAGTGAATAATCTTACGCTGAGGACTACTGTAATTGTGCAGCAAATAAGTCTACTGATCCTTATTACTGAATTAATTCCATCACTTACAGCAACACAACAAAAATGAAAGCAATTTAGCTTTTTGAATTTTTCTAAAACTAAATAGATTTACAAGATAAAGCCACAAACTAGCAGCTCTATTATCATCTGTTTACAAATGATTCTTAAAGTACAGCAATTATTGCATCTTTCTATCAATGGTATATCTTTATTTTAGCAGCCATGTCTCTTGAAATGGCACTTCCTGTGATAATTGGTTAGCAATACTCACCAGCTGATGCTTCTTTGATCTCTTCCGGCTGCTGTTCTGCTACAGTTGGTACCTCTTCTGGTTTTTCACTTGTATCTGTAAGCAGTATCACAAATATTTAAATATGCCTTTAATAGGGTACATTTTGATCATCTAACCCATAAATTCTACATTTAACTGTGCAATTTGTCCTATGGAGCATAGAAATATATATCTTAATTTTATATCTACATTATTAGCCATATTAATGGAACTTTTTAAAATCAGTTTTCAGTCAAGTTGAAGGATTTCTGACAACAAAATCATTAGTGTAGTGAAAACTTTTATTCATATTACATATTGAGAAAAAATATAATCATCCTTATTTTCAAATACAGAAATAGAATATTAACATTAACAATTTATGTATTTATGTATTGTTTTAATCACAATGTGATTTTAGTGCATAACACGAATTTACACATATTCACCGCTTTACTGATCGTTAGAAACTCATAGCTTGGTACTTTCAATTCTATGAAACACACAAATACATTTTGAGACTGAACTTCTATATAATTAAAGAAACGATTAAACTGACTTGGTATTTCTTGCACAAAATGTTTCAGACATAGACATAGACAAACATTTGAAGACATGGGAAATTATTTCCATACATAAAACTTGGCGTAAACATTATGATTTTTAAATAGTTTCAGTGAAGAATTCTTTATAAAATAGATTATCAACTCTCCTTCCATTTGTGTTTTCAGAACTGGTCATGATATCAAGTGGCACTGATCACATTAGTAGATGATCTCTGGCAGAAGCAGGATGGGTTGCTTCTCTTTGAACCTTCAATAGTTTTTGATACTATCAATCATGGTATCCTTTTGAACCATTTCCAGGGGTTGGGAATGGGCAGTACTATGCTGTGTTGGTTTTCTTCCTTTGTCCAAGGATGGTTCTATTCAGTCTTGCCTATGGCCCTTGTTTTGCAGCGTGCAGCAGGACTTACCATAGTATTCTTTCCACTTCTGTTAACATCTACATGAAGCCAGTAGGTAAAATGCATATCTTATGATTATGAGATGAACTCATTGAATGATTTGTATGTGTTTATTGCCCACCTCAGTAGTTAAAAAGGCTTAAATATCAGCGTTCTTATGCTAGAGATGTAATATATTTGAGAGCACTCTAATATACAAGACCTGGATGTCTCTTTGGCTATCTCATTCTGGTTTAGTATTCATCCTACTGTTAAAAAAGATTTGGGAAACCAAAGTGAGGTTTCAGGATGAAAGTATGATATTGAATTACATACCAAAACTTTATGAAGATGTGTGCGGACTTTTTGTCTGCTTGGAATATACCAAAATAAAGATAATTCTGCACAGACATTTATCCTTATGGAATTACAATCCCATCTTGAAGAATTGTATTCATACTCCACCACTGAATTAGCTGCCCATAGACATATGGAAAGATTGATCAATATGATTCAGTGTGGACAATGATTAACTTGTAATTTAAAAACTAAGCTACTTTACACATTGTTTTTCTTATTTTGTTATATTTTATACTTTATGTTTTGTATTTTGTTGTATATTTTGTCTTTTTCTTTCCTCTCTGGCACATTACTGCAATAAAAAAATAAAATTTTAAAGCCTAGTGCTTGGTACACCTCAAGGCAGTAACTGCACTTTCTAGGAATGGCACTCATATATATGCTAACAATTAAATACCAAATGTTGCATTTAGGAAAAGTCAAAAAGCAACAGCAAGAAATGTTAATTTAAAGCTATCTTGCGTTTTTATAGCAAATCTGAGAAATACGCTTCTTTCTGGATTCTGCATCTCCCAAAAGAGAGAAAAGAGTTGCCCATGAATGTTACTTGATCATGTTTATTAACATTCTCCCCCTTTCAATATGAAGACATGATCTCCACAAAGTACTCCAATGACTCTGAAGCCATTTACTATTTCAATAAATGCATTTGCCTGCTTTCACTCTACTAATAAGCAACTCGTTGCTATGAGAAAGGGACACTTTCGGCGGGTGAGGTGTTTCACGGCCAAGGGAAGTCAATTCCAAGAAGTCTTACGTGGAGAAAGCGGGAAAGTTACCTTTTGCTTCGTCGCCCTCCTGTTCCCCACTCGGCTCCATTGTAGTTGACACTGGTTGCTCAGCAACCAAAGACGGGCGCCCGAAGACATCTGGGAAATTGAGTTTTAAAATTGCGCGTGCTTAAGGCGCCTGCGTGGAGTAATAGGATCCTCGTGGTGGCTTTACTGGGTGTTTTCATACAGCGATTCCGTACCTGTAAACTTTGCTTCTGTATTAACTGGCGGACGTAGGAAGTCATTTTGTACAGGAAGGAGACGGAAGAAATGTGTTCCTTATATAAGAAGGTTTGGAATGGTGGCGATAAATTGAAGATTCAGTTTGTGGATTGAAGTCCTCGTTTACTTTCTAGTTTTGCTGGACTGCAACTCCCATAATCGCCGGCCGCTACTCCTATTCATTTGAGATTTACGGAAACGCGGAGGCTGTTAATTTGATCGATCAATCCGAAAATAAATGCCTCCGCGTTCAAGACGTTTCCTCTTACAGCGTGTTAAAAGAGGGAGCTTGTTTATTTGTTATCCTTGCGATATACCGCCGACTATCGAAGTCTCCCAGTTTTAACAGTTGCCGAACAGAATAAAAATTACCAACACATTCCTAAAAAAAGGACCGGCTCGTTTATAGTTTCCCATCTATCACGAGGGTTGCCGCCATTTTCCAGCCGACAGGCTCATAAGTGTTTCTCAACCTTGGCAATTTTAAGGCATGTGGACTTCAACTCCCAGAATTCCACAGCCAGCAATGCTGGCTGTGGAATTCTGGGAGTTGAAGTCCACATGTCTTAAAATTGTCAAGGTTGAGAAACACTGTCATAAACTTTCAAGAGCTGTAATGCAAATGCGGTAATGGGAGAAAGCTGCACCTGTTGATTTCGTCACTCAGTTAAACATGCTGGAAACTTCAAAGCGGGGCGAGAGGATCGAGCAAATGAGCTCATTTCTTCTACAGTTGCCAAAGGCGTGGCCGCTGCAACTCTGCGTTGGCCAATGTATTTTTAATTTTACTAGTGGATAGCAAGTGTAACGCTTTATGGCAGTCTTCTGCTAGCGACAATTATCAAGTTTTCAAAAAAAATCTGTGTTTTTGGATTGAAAACATCCAGTAGATAGGATCGGGTCACAATCTTTTGCAAATGGATGCTCAAGTCCAAAAATCGTCCCCTTGGGCACAGTAAGAGAGAGAAAAATGTGCATGTAGATGGTGTGTGTGTACCACACACACGTACCTCTTTGGTTTAAATGGCCGTATTCGGGATAAATTTTCAAAAGCGCAACACAGGTTTATATAACGCTAAGGTGCAACCCTTGCGTGCACATAGCTGCCAATTCCATCAAATTTCTAAAACTGCTTGTGTAAGGCGACCTTAGGTGGAAAGGAGAGAAAATAAGGGATGTCGTGAACAGAAGTGACATATTTGTTATGGCACCAGGTGTAACAGTTGGATCCAGAGAGTTTGCGACCCCGTTGCCTTACGTGATTCCATCTAGTATAATTAGCGTATGGCGTGTGGATTCGCTCTAACCGGGACAATCGAGCTAATTTAATAACCGCGGTCCAGTTCATTATACGTCGTGAGAATACCGCCGGCATAGGAGAAGCAAGCGAGGACGGTGCTATTGCGTCCAATCTTGCTTGCTACCTTCTCCGGCATCGGGCTAGCTGCTGTTGGAACAGATTAATGGCCGGCGCCCTTTGGTCTGATCCAGCAGAGGTCTCTGCTCCCGCTTTCCCAGCGAGCCTCAAGGAAGGAGGGAGCCTTGGGGCGAGCGCGGCACCTGCAGGTATTCGCCGCGGAGTGCACCTACAGGGAATGGGAAAGTGCTTCAGCAACAAGTGCCGGAGAAGACTGAACGGAGGAAGTGGCTGCTTGCTTGCGCTGAACCGCTCCTCCCCCGGGGGAAAAAAAAGGTTCGAGGCTCCCTTCTTCGGCTTCGGAAAAACAGAAGGAAACTCGTGGAATTAGGAGTTGGGGAAGGGCGGGCTGAGGTTTTACCTCCTAGAGGCTCCGGGCAGTGGGAGGAGACGCCATGGCCTGGATCTGGCAGTGGCAATTCCAAGCGCTCTTTATCGGCCTCACCTCGACAGGTGAGTCGACAAGAGGGGAGAGAAGCTGGTGGCTAAACACATCGGAGTAACTTCGATCTTTTCTCTTGCTTTTCGCTAGTAAATTGACTCCCTACTTTTGTGCTCCCTTACCTGGTTCTTCCCCGCTTGTCTTGTTGTTTTTTTTTAAACCAATTTCCTCATCGCACAGCCTGGAGGCTGAGCAATTGATCAACCCTATTCAGATTATTTCTCAATTATTTAAACTTTACTTAGAAGAAGAGAAATGATTGCTGATGTAAAATCGCAGTTTGGTGGCTTTGACTAGGATCTAGAGATTGATTAGACTCTCACCTCCCTACATTTCAGTTGTAAAGTTGCATGTGTATAGAGATTTGTATATAGTACATACATACATGTAGAAGTTTTGTCCAAATCAGAATTGTTAGAAATTCACATATAGTAACTTTTCTTTAGATGAAAATTGTGATGTAACTGAATGCATAACTTTGGATTCACAGAAATACCGTATGTTTGCAGTTTATTTTGTTTTAGCTATTATTGCTCCTGGGTGAAACTTTTATCTTGAGGAATATACAATAGTTTGTTTAAGATAAACTCTGGCCTTCCAAAGTTAAAATAACCAAAGTCACAAACCCTATAATCAGTGATAGGATTCAACCAGTTCGCACCAGTTCAGCAGAACCGGTAGCTAATTTTTTGTTGCCCAGGCCCAGAATGGACTTCCGGAAGCAGCATCCTCTTTGAATCCCACCACTGCCTTTAATGTACGTGCATCAATTTTATATTTC